GGCCTCCAGCCAGAAAGCCCCGACCGGACCGAGGGTCTGCCGGGCGCCGGGCCGCGTGGGCTCCCTGGAGGATGGGGTGACGGATGCAGGAGCAGCTGGGGAAGGCCCTGAGAGAAGTGGGAAGCATGGGGTTCCATACCTTTGGCTTTTTTTGGTCCAAAAATGTTTAAAACGTCGTTGGGGACAGATCAAGGATTGCCAACTTTTGAAACAGAGTGGAGAGCGGTTCTCAACCTGTGGGTCGCGACCCCTTTGGCGGTCGAACGACCCTTTCACAGGGGTCTCCTAAGACCATCCTGCATATCAGATATTTACATGACGATTCATAACAGTAGCAACATTACAGTTATGAAGTAGCAGCGAAAATAATTTTATGGTTGGGTCACAACATGAGGAACTGTATTTAAAGGGCCAGAAGGTTGAGAACCACTGCTTCAGGTGTAGGTGGGACAGAGCGGGAATGGAAAATTGCTAAGGAGGAAACCTTGGGAACACCAGGATTTAGCAGGTGGGTGGAAGAAGAGTTGCAATACGCAGAAGGAGGCATCCCAGTCCATGAAAATGGGGGGGGGGGGGAATCTTACAGAAACCAAGGGAATAAGGCAGGATTTGGGAGTGGGGTGATTTGTCCAGCCAGCTCAAAGCCTTGAGACGTCCGGGTAGGCAAGGTGGGCTTAGTGAAGGGATGAGCCCATATTGTCACATCTTTAGTTTTTCAAGAGAAGGCCAGAGAACCACTGAGTTTTCCATGTTGGCGGCTAAGTCACACAAAAAGGAAAAGCCCAGCTCTTTTGAGAGCCAGACAAAACGTGTCTGTGGCAGGATCCCCAGGCTGCCAATTTGCATCCTCTAAAATGAAGGGTTTTGAGAAGGAGGTATTGGTGAGCAGTGCCAGAAGGGGTGGGGAAGGGGACGGAGAAGAGAGGACTGGCAGCAAGGAGGTCATTGGATGCTGGAGCCGCGTGCCGAAGTCCCAGCTGAAATTGGAAACGCGAAACCTGTCTCGCTGCCATATGCAGTCGTATGATTTTCCTTGGCAGCATTTAACATGTTATGAGGAATTGGCAGAGGAGGAGTTAGTGGCCGGTTGCAGCAGGGCAAGGAATTGAGGAATGTGATGCTGGTCAGAGAGTTAGCTGAAGTGATGTCTGTAGTGAGACCCACTATAGAAGGAGGGGATCTAAGCTAGAAGGGAGTGGGTAGAACCAGAAGAGGAGAACGAAGTGAAAATGGGGAAATATTAGCCCTGGCCGGTTTGACTCAGTGGATAGAGCATTGGCCTGCAGACCGAAGGGTCCTGGGTTTGATTCTGGTCAAGGGCACATGCCTGGGTTGCAGGCTCGATCTCCAGTAGGGGGCATGCAAGAGGCAGCCAATCAGTGATTCTCATCATTGATGTTTCTCTCTCTCCATTCCTCTCTGAAATCAATAAAAATTAAAAAATACAAGATAGGGAGCTATTAGACTCGGTGAGGTTGAGTGAGAGAACTGGAAGGATTGGAGATTATGGTATCTGAAGAGGAGGGTCAGAGGGGGTAAAATGAGCAAAGACAATTCATTAAAGTGGCTGAAATTCATTAAGAAGATATTTCCAAATAGAAATGGGCTCCATCATGGCTATTCTGACTAATATGTATATTTTGATTCAGTTACTCTCTAAGCTTCAAGGTAAGGATAATAATAGTACCTTTGTATAGAGTTGTGAAGATTAAGTGAGAAACACTTGTAAAGGTCTAGTAGTGCCTAGCACAGAGCAGACACTCAGTAAACATGAGCTGTTATCCTTATGGTAGCTGGGAGTGTCCCTTTAGCTGCACAGAAGTTTCTGAATGGGGTCCTGAGAGGCTCCCCCGGGCCACCACAGGGGCTGAGGGGCTAAGGGGGGTGTGTGTTCCAGTTTCCTTCTTTGTTCCTGCAGAAACAGCCTCCTCTAACTGGAGCAGTCATGCTTTTGTCTGTTTATTTGTTTATATCTCCCAGAGAATTGATTTTTTTTTTTTGATAAAGAGTTCAAGTGAGCCCTAACTGGTTTGGCTCAGTGGATAGAGCGTCGGCCTGCGGACTCAAGGGTCCCAGGTTCGATTCCGGTCAAGGGCATGTACCTTGGTTGCAGGCACATCCCCAGTAGGGAGTGTGCAGGAGGCAGCTGATCAATGTTTCTCTCTCATCGATGTTTCTAATTCTCTATCCCTCTCCCTTCCTCTCTGTAAAAAATCAATAAAGTATATTTTTTAAAAAAAGAGTTCAAGTCTGACAATCAGTTCTAGCACAAAACCAGATGGCTTTTCCTCCATTTGGTTATGTATAATTCAACAAATGTAGGTGTAGAGATTGTCCTGTTGTGCTGGGGCTCGGGGTTCCAAAGTGAAGGAGCCCACGACTTGCCCTGAAGGAGCTCACAGGTAGTGGTGGGGAGAGTCCTGTCAACCCATATGTGCCATCCAGGGTGGTGCGTGCACCAAGCTCCGTGGGTCACGGAGGGGTGTGTCTGAGATAGTCAATCTGAGGGTGAAAGAAGAGGGGACGTTTGGACTGAGCCTGGAAGGATGAGCCAGTGACAGTCTGAGAAAGGGGAGGGACCTGGCAGGCAGAAGCAGCAGCACAAATTAAATGGAAGGTTAGGGGTGTGTGGAAGGAGGGGCAGGAGATGGGCTGGAAGGGCCATGCACGAGGGCCTTGTGAGTGAGTTGAGCTGTCACAGGCTCCTGAGAAGAGAAATGACACGATCGGGCCTGTATTGGGGTATCTCACACTGGTGTCAATGCAGGGAATGGACCCGAGGGAGGAACAGAAGTTGGAGATAGGCAGCTATTTGGGAGGTGAGTGTTGAAATGATCTCGGGGATTTGCACTGAGGTCTGAGCTCCGGAATCACAGCAAAGACAGAGAGGCAGAGACAGACCCCTTCAATAAAGCCTCAGGAAACGGAAGGACAGGCCATGCAGGTGAGAGAGGAAGAAGGTGGAGGCTGACTCCCAGAGTTGTGGCTGGGGCACCACAAGGAAGAAAGTGCACGCTCTTGCCCAACAAAACCCAATTCTCAACACCCTCCAGCAGGTGGAGTATTGTGCCTTTTCCATGTGGCTCCACTTCCTGATCTAACCCACCTTTCTGAACGTCCTCAGAGAGTCTAGACCAGTGATGGCGAACCTATGACAGGCAAAATCATTTTTTTGATTGATTTTTCTTTGTTAAATGGCATTTAAGTATATAAAATAAATATCAAAAATATAAATCTTTGTTTTACTATGGTTGCAAATATCAAAAAATTTCTATATGTGACACGGCATCAGAGTTAAGTTAGGGTTTTTCAAAATGCTGACACGCCGAGTTCAAAAGGTTCGCCATCACTGGTCTAGACACTATGGTGTGGTGTTTGATTCTCTAATTTCTCTGTCTTGTTTGCAGTTGTTTCTGACAAATCAAACTTCTGTCTAACCCAATGGGGATCAAAGCAAAGGGCAAGATTGTGACGTTTTGTTTTGTTTTGTTAATCCTCACCTGAGGATATTTTTTCATTGATTTTTTTGGGGGGAGGGGAGAGAGAGCGAGAGCGAGAGAGAGATGTGAGAGAGACACATTGGTTGGTTACCTCCTGCAAGTGCCCCAACTTGGGTTGGGGATCAAACCTGCAACCCAGGTATGTGCCCTTGACCTGGAATCCAACCCAAGATCCTTCAATGTATGCGCTGTCACTCTAACCACGGAACACACCGGCCAGGGCCAAGATTGTATCTTATACTTATTTTGTTATCTCTACCATTGATTCTGGCACAGGAAGAAGGCACATACTAAGTGCTTGACTTGTCTGCTTGACAATGTCCCTTTTCTTTTTAGATTGTAAGAACAGTGTGTCCCAAAGAAGAACATCTTTCAAGAAATATAGTCATTGGGGCTGATACTAGATCCACAATGGAGGTTAAGTGTGTCCCAAAGAAGAACATCTTTCAAGAAATACAGTCATTGGGGCTGATACTAGATCCACAATGGAGGTTCCCCCAGCATCCAAACTTGGTGAGACCTTTGTGTTTGAAGATGGGTTAGAGATGCAGCAAGAACTTTTCCCAGAGGAGGACCTAGGGGACGCATTTCTTCAGGAAAGAGGTTTAGAGCAAATGGCCGTTATCTATAAGGAGATCCCTCTTGGGGAGCCAAACGAGGAACATGATGATTACGAGGGGAATTTCAGTCTGTGCTCAAGCCCTGTTCAGCACCAGAGTATCCCCCAAGTCAACAAACCCCAGGATGATGACATATTTGGCCAAACCTTCCTCCAGAAATCAGACCTTAGTATGTGTCAGTTAATCCATGGTGGAGAAGAACCCAGCAAACACGACTATGAGCTAGTGGGCAGGGGGGACTCGGGACCTAATGAGCCTCACAGAACTGCACAACCACCAAAACCCTATGCATGTCGGGAATGTGGGAAGGCCTTCAGCCAGAGCTCGCACCTTCTTAGGCACCTGGTGATCCACACTGGGGAGAAGCCCTACGAGTGCTGTGAGTGTGGGAAGGCCTTCAGCCAGAGCTCGCACCTTCTCAGACATCAGATAATCCACACCGGGGAGAAGCCCTACGAATGCCCAGAATGTGGAAAAGCCTTTCGCCAGAGCTCAGCCCTCACACAGCATCAGAAAACCCACACTGGGAAGAGACCCTATGAATGTAGGGAATGCGGGAAAGATTTCAGTCGGAGCTCAAGTCTGAGAAAACATGAGAGAATTCATACTGGAGAAAAACCTTATCAGTGTAAGGAATGTGGGAAATCCTTCAACCAGAGTTCAGGCCTGAGCCAGCATCGGAAAATCCACACCCTAAAGAAACCTCACCAATGCGATCTCTGCGGAAAGGCCTTCTGTCACAGGTCCCACCTCATTCGGCACCAGAGGATTCACACTGGGAAGAAACCGTACAAATGCGAGGAGTGTGGGAAGGCCTTCAGCCAGAGCTCGCACCTTCTCAGACATCAGATAATCCACACCGGGGAGAAGCCCTACGAATGCCCAGAATGTGGAAAAGCCTTTCGCCAGAGCTCAGCCCTCACACAGCATCAGAAAACCCACACTGGGAAGAGACCCTATGAATGTAGGGAATGCGGGAAAGATTTCAGTCGGAGCTCAAGTCTGAGAAAACATGAGAGAATTCATACTGGAGAAAAACCTTATCAGTGTAAGGAATGTGGGAAATCCTTCAACCAGAGTTCAGGCCTGAGCCAGCATCGGAAAATCCACACCCTAAAGAAACCTCACCAATGCGATCTCTGCGGAAAGGCCTTCTGTCACAGGTCCCACCTCATTCGGCACCAGAGGATTCACACTGGGAAGAAACCGTACAAATGCGAGGAGTGTGGGAAGGCCTTCAGCCAGAGCTCCAACCTCATTGAGCATCGGAAGACCCACACCGGTGAGAAACCCTACAAATGCCATAAGTGTGGGAAAGCCTTCAGCCAGAGTTCCTCCCTCATTGAGCACCAGCGGATTCACACTGGGGAGAAGCCTTATGAGTGCGGCCAGTGCGGGAAGGCCTTCTGCCACAGCTCCGCACTGATTCAGCACCAGAGAATCCACACCGGGAAGAAACCCTACGCGTGCAATGAGTGTGGCAAAGCCTTCCGGCACAGGTCGGCCCTTATCGAACATTATAAAACCCACACCAGAGAGAAACCCTACGAGTGTAACAAATGCGGCAAGTCCTTCAGGGGGAGCTCACACCTTATTCGGCATCAGAAAATCCATGCTGGGGAGAAGCTCTAGAAGGAGGAGCTCACACCAAAGCTTGAAAGCCTTTCCCAGATGGAGCCCACGCCCAGTCACTTTATCTGCAAGGCTCCATCCACCTGCCCCATAACAGAGTTGGACCTAGTGCTCCTGAGCACCCACACCAGCAGCAAGGGCCCCTCTTGGCCAGGCAATCAGCAGGTTTTCTGAGCACAAGGGAGGATGGGGGGATAGAAAGGCTGCCAGAATGGCTGAGCACCTGAAAAGAGAATGGGCCTTCGATTTCTCATTCTCACATTTGACTTCCAAGCCTGTGAGGTTCAGTTCTGCCCTCTATTCCAGAATCCAGAATAGAAATGACTGTAAGAGGGAGAAAGTTGAGTTAAACCCACGAGAATGCCAGGTGAGAACTCTAACATCAGGCTACAGTTTGGCACTTTCAGTAGAAGGAACCATTCTCACAGTCCAAATTAGCTGAAGAAAAATGAATCCAAAAAGTAGATACCTCAGCCACAAAATGGAATCTTCTGCCTGGTTTGGGTACTTGTAGGTACAACCCAAACAGGTTACAGAACAAAGGGAGTGTCTGGAAGGATTAGGTTTGGGACTGGGAGGGAGGGTGCGAGTCCCTGGTGTGGTCCCTTAATCCTATTCTGTGTTAGAGTGAGGGGGGTCTCTTTCAAGGAGAGTAGAGGTTTGGTCCTGCAGGCCAGAGGGCATTTGATGCCCAGCTCTGACTCAGCCCAGGCCCACGGCACCAGTGCCCGCCAGGAGCAGGCCCTCCACCAGACCCGGGGCTCCTAAAACCACAGCGTGCCTTGGACATCAGCAGGGCTCCTTTCTGGTCTGGCAGCTATGCAGCCTCTCCACCTTCCAGTGCAGGCTCGGGCGGGGCGGGGGATGTTGGAAGCAGGGTGATTCAATTAGAGATCTGGGTGCAAGTCTCAGGTCCATCCCTCCTACCTATGTGTCCTTGAGGAACCCCCAAGGCTCAGTTTTCCTACCTGTGAAATGGAGATCGTGGGGTCTGGCCCCACACTTTGAGGATTGGTGCAAGCCTCCCACAATGGAGGTTCCCCCAGCATCCAAACTTGGTGAGACCTTTGTGTTTGAAGATGGGTTAGAGATGCAGCAAGAACTTTTCCCAGAGGAGGACCTAGGGGACGCATTTCTTCAGGAAAGAGGTTTAGAGCAAATGGCCGTTATCTATAAGGAGATCCCTCTTGGGGAGCCAAACGAGGAACATGATGATTACGAGGGGAATTTCAGTCTGTGCTCAAGCCCTGTTCAGCACCAGAGTATCCCCCAAGTCAACAAACCCCAGGATGATGACATATTTGGCCAAACCTTCCTCCAGAAATCAGACCTTAGTATGTGTCAGTTAATCCATGGTGGAGAAGAACCCAGCAAACACGACTATGAGCTAGTGGGCAGGGGGGACTCGGGACCTAATGAGCCTCACAGAACTGCACAACCACCAAAACCCTATGCATGTCGGGAATGTGGGAAGGCCTTCAGCCAGAGCTCGCACCTTCTTAGGCACCTGGTGATCCACACTGGGGAGAAGCCCTACGAGTGCTGTGAGTGTGGGAAGGCCTTCAGCCAGAGCTCGCACCTTCTCAGACATCAGATAATCCACACCGGGGAGAAGCCCTACGAATGCCCAGAATGTGGAAAAGCCTTTCGCCAGAGCTCAGCCCTCACACAGCATCAGAAAACCCACACTGGGAAGAGACCCTATGAATGTAGGGAATGCGGGAAAGATTTCAGTCGGAGCTCAAGTCTGAGAAAACATGAGAGAATTCATACTGGAGAAAAACCTTATCAGTGTAAGGAATGTGGGAAATCCTTCAACCAGAGTTCAGGCCTGAGCCAGCATCGGAAAATCCACACCCTAAAGAAACCTCACCAATGCGATCTCTGCGGAAAGGCCTTCTGTCACAGGTCCCACCTCATTCGGCACCAGAGGATTCACACTGGGAAGAAACCGTACAAATGCGAGGAGTGTGGGAAGGCCTTCAGCCAGAGCTCCAACCTCATTGAGCATCGGAAGACCCACACCGGTGAGAAACCCTACAAATGCCATAAGTGTGGGAAAGCCTTCAGCCAGAGTTCCTCCCTCATTGAGCACCAGCGGATTCACACTGGGGAGAAGCCTTATGAGTGCGGCCAGTGCGGGAAGGCCTTCTGCCACAGCTCCGCACTGATTCAGCACCAGAGAATCCACACCGGGAAGAAACCCTACGCGTGCAATGAGTGTGGCAAAGCCTTCCGGCACAGGTCGGCCCTTATCGAACATTATAAAACCCACACCAGAGAGAAACCCTACGAGTGTAACAAATGCGGCAAGTCCTTCAGGGGGAGCTCACACCTTATTCGGCATCAGAAAATCCATGCTGGGGAGAAGCTCTAGAAGGAGGAGCTCACACCAAAGCTTGAAAGCCTTTCCCAGATGGAGCCCACGCCCAGTCACTTTATCTGCAAGGCTCCATCCACCTGCCCCATAACAGAGTTGGACCTAGTGCTCCTGAGCACCCACACCAGCAGCAAGGGCCCCTCTTGGCCAGGCAATCAGCAGGTTTTCTGAGCACAAGGGAGGATGGGGGGATAGAAAGGCTGCCAGAATGGCTGAGCACCTGAAAAGAGAATGGGCCTTCGATTTCTCATTCTCACATTTGACTTCCAAGCCTGTGAGGTTCAGTTCTGCCCTCTATTCCAGAATCCAGAATAGAAATGACTGTAAGAGGGAGAAAGTTGAGTTAAACCCACGAGAATGCCAGGTGAGAACTCTAACATCAGGCTACAGTTTGGCACTTTCAGTAGAAGGAACCATTCTCACAGTCCAAATTAGCTGAAGAAAAATGAATCCAAAAAGTAGATACCTCAGCCACAAAATGGAATCTTCTGCCTGGTTTGGGTACTTGTAGGTACAACCCAAACAGGTTACAGAACAAAGGGAGTGTCTGGAAGGATTAGGTTTGGGACTGGGAGGGAGGGTGCGAGTCCCTGGTGTGGTCCCTTAATCCTATTCTGTGTTAGAGTGAGGGGGGTCTCTTTCAAGGAGAGTAGAGGTTTGGTCCTGCAGGCCAGAGGGCATTTGATGCCCAGCTCTGACTCAGCCCAGGCCCACGGCACCAGTGCCCGCCAGGAGCAGGCCCTCCACCAGACCCGGGGCTCCTAAAACCACAGCGTGCCTTGGACATCAGTAGGGCTCCTTTCTGGTCTGGCAGCTATGCAGCCTCTCCACCTTCCAGTGCAGGCTCGGGCGGGGCGGGGGATGTTGGAAGCAGGGTGATTCAATTAGAGATCTGGGTGCAAGTCTCAGGTCCATCCCTCCTACCTATGTGTCCTTGAGGAACCCCCAAGGCTCAGTTTTCCTACCTGTGAAATGGAGATCGTGGGGTCTGGCCCCACACTTTGAGGATTGGTGCAAGCCTCCCATTCAGAATGAGAGCACATATGAAAGTGCTTTGACAACTAGGGATTGAGCGTGGATACCCAGAGTGACCTCTGCCCTGCCCCCCCCCGCCCCCCGCCCCGAAACACTGTCCTTGAAACCTGGAGAGGCATCCCCATCTGCTTCCTGAAATGGCAGAGCTTGCAGCAGGCCCTCACTAAACCAGGCTTCCCCATACTCCCTCAGGCTTGTACCCTGGGCTGGGGTGCCCTGTGTTTATCTTACAGATGTTTCCCGGAAGCCATCCTGAGCCTCCCTGTGGTGTTCAGTCCATGTCCCTGTACTTCTCTCTGTTCTCCCACTGCCAACCGGTGTTCATCTGGGACCAGTTCAGTGGGCTTCCCCAGAGGTGGGGCTCGGTGGCGTGTTTTTAAAGCTCCAGGTGGTTATAATGTCCCAGCATGCATCCAGGCCGTGAGCCCTGTGCTGGGCACCCATGCCACCCCACATCTCTCAAATGACAGGCCTGCTTGCCCTGACTGAGCAGAGCTTGAAGGTGGCCCAGGAACCACACACTGACAGGTCTGGCTAGTTGGTCATTGTTTGTCCCAGGCCCTCAGGCCTTCGTGTGCCCATGGGGATCTAGAACTGGCATTCCCCTCAGGTTTCTCAGCTAGTGTGGGAGGAGGCGGTCTGAGCTATTTTGAAGTTTTCCAAACATTTATGGCTGGAATCCCATGAAGCTATCATGGTAAAGCTGATTATTTCAGCCAATCAGAAGTTCAGCTTGGCAGATATGTGCAGTTTTGATGAAAAAAATGGGAGAGCCGCCCTGGCTAGTTTTCTCAGAGTCAGTCCTCGGACTAACGGGTCACAGGTTCAGTTCTGGTCAAGGGCACATATCTCCATTGTAGGCTCAATCCCTGGCCCCAGTCAGGGTGCCTGCAGGAGGCAACCAATCCATGTGTCTCTCTCACATCGATGTTTCTCTCTCTGTGTCTCTCACCCTCCCTTCCACACTCTCTAAAAATCAATGGGAAAAAAATATTCTCGGGTGAGGATTAGCAAAAAAAAAAATAAAAAAATGGGAGAGCCATAGTTGTTACATCGATGTTTCTCTCTCTGTGTCTCTCACCCTCCCTTCCACACTCTCTAAAAATCAATGGGAAAAAAATATTCTCGGGTGAGGATTAGCAAAAAAAAAAATAAAAAAATGGGAGAGCCATAGTTGTTACTGAGTAAGTGGGGCTTGGTAGCCAGAGATTTTAAAAGGATTGGTCTGGTGGTCTGGGAAGAGCACTTCTGTCAAGTCCTGCTCTTTGCTATGTGAAACATTTAACCGGCACCCCAGGCTCCCCCAGCACCTGCTGTACCACAGCTGGACTGGTCAGGTGGTGCTGGGCATCGTTGTCAGGACCAGGAGTGAGGAGAGAATGCTGACACCTGCTCGGTGCGGGTGACAGCAGCCACCAACTCCCACCAGGTCTACCTCCTGCACCCCCTCATTCAGACAGTCATCAATTTCCTTCCCACCTTCAGTGTCTCCCTCCACACCCTGTGCACCCCAACCAAATTGATTTTTTTAAAGCATCACTTTGCACATGTCACCACTCTCCTTAAAACCAACCTTTGGGGGTATTTCTGCACATAAACCCCCATTTCAGCCCATCTGCTTCACCCCCTCTAAACAAGCCACATGGAGCTCATGCCAGCCTCTGTCCTCAGCTCACCCCCAGCCTCTCGCAACCCATTTTATACTGTTCTCTCGTTTTGAAATATGCACTTTCTCCCCCTGTACCCTCTGCAGCCCGTCTCCTTTCTCCTTTTGACAATTTATGTAACAGGATTAAAACCCCTTTCTGAAGGGTTCACAGGTAATCTCTCAAATAACCATGGTTAAGACCAGGTACTTTTCATTTTTGGAAGTGTAAGTAAAACTAGCTCTCTGTTCAATGTATTTCATGGTTTGACTGTGTATTTAAATTCCTTCCATTTTATTTTGGGTCTCAGTGTAAGGTTATAAGGGATTGCCCTGGTAACGGTTTAATCGTCCTTGAATTTAGTTGTTTTTGTTGTCTTGTGTTTTTTCCCTCACGACAGAGGTTGAATGTTGTATAGCTCCCACTCGTGATTTTGTTTACTAGTTGAATTGTTGTGTCAAAGTATATGTATTCTGGTGGGTTCTTTGTTTGTTTTTAGCTTAATACTTTATGTTTCTAAGATTAATTATTAGTTAAGCGTATATATCTATATTTTTATTGGTTTTAGAGAGGAAGGGAGAGAGAGAAACATCGATCGGCTGCCTTCTGCACATGCCCTGACCGGGGATTGAACCCTCAACCTGGCTCTGTGTCCTGACTGGGAATCAGAATCGAACCTGCAGCCTTTTGGTGCATGGGATGATGCTCCAACCAACTGAGCCACACAGGCCAGGGCATTAGTTAATCATATTTTTATTATTTCTAGTAAATGTAGATAATTTAGTCTGATTTTTTAAAATAGTTCGAGCTTTTTCTATACTCCATAAGTTTAACATGTGGTATTTCTTGTTATTATATTTTTACTTTCCTTTTGGCCCAAGTGTTATTATTACTTTTTTATATTTCCAAGTGATGAATGCTTAAGCCATTATTGTTATTTCTTACTTTATTGTGGTTTCAACATTTCAAAGTGTCCATAGAATTTCTTTGGGCCTGAATATATTATCAGCGTTTATAAAACATTTGTGTACTCTTAAGAAATGTGTTTTTACTCCATCAGTTTTATTTGTTAGCTCAGTTTTTAAACTATTTTATACAAATTAATATTCTCTCTAATTTTGTTTACTTCAGAGTTCTGAACCTGGGGTCCATGGACTGCCTAGGGGTCTTTTGGCACACAGGGGTTTTAAAAGGTGTGGACCCCTAGGGACTGAACAAAGCTGTGTGGACATGCTTATGAGTGAATTGTTCTGGGTCTGTAGCATTCTCCTTATTTTGGAAGGGCTCTGTGGCCCCAAAATAGTTAAGAACACTCATTTACCTGATCTAATTGTAGTCTGATTTTGTGTTTTTTTCTTTATGTAGTTTCTGTTCCTTTTTTATGTGTGTTGCTATGTTAGTCATGCAATTATCTCAACTCTTTTTGGAGAAATAGACAGGGTATAAGTTGTCAATAAGTAAGTACCATGGTGTTTG